ATATATATATATATATATATATATATATATATATATATATATATATATATATATATATATATCTCAGAAGAAGTTCATGAAAACACATAAAACCAGTAAAGGAAGACAACAGAGGACTGAGCGAGATGGGTCCTGCGCCTGAGTGTGATGTTGATCATAAACCCAGAGAGAAGGATCTCACTTAGGATAAGCGACATCAATTAGAAATGTCAAGAGCAACAGATGCTGCATGTGACAAACACACAGGATGCTTTAGTATACAAAGATCAGAGAAATGATTTTGCCCCTCCCTTCGCCCCGCCGATTGCTATCTCTGCCTCTGGCTGCTTGTGAATCCGTTCTTGGCTGCTTTCGCCTCTACTCTTAGCCGCCTCCACCCCTAGTCATCTCCTTGCATGGCCCTCCCACCCCTTTGTCCCTTGCTCTCGTTCGCCCTTGGTAGCTTTTGCGCGTCATCCCCACTCTGCTATTCTAGTTATCGTCATTGTCATCTTGACGGAGGAGGCAGTGGACAGCCCCACCCTTTGCCCACCCTCTCCATCGTCCTCGTTGACGATGGCATCGATGCCACTATAGCTACATGATGGTGTCGTTGCCCTCCACTCGCCATGAGATAATCCAAAATCTGATCAACTAAGCACAAGATGATATTTTTAGGGAAGAATGCCACAAAATGGAATTTTTAGAAGAAAACCCTTCGGAAATCACATAATTTAGGAAACAAGAAAATATCGATGAGGAGCAACAGACGACACTGATTCGAATGATGTCCACTATTTAAAATTTTAGTAAGTTAATTATTTAAATACTTAAAAAATTTTAAGACTCAAAATTGAAAGGCTTGATAACTCGATAATATCTATTAGCGCGGCAATGTATTTTTATTTATGTTATATATATTTTTATATATAGAAATGCTTGAATTTTTATTTAAAATTCAAATTAATATTATGTACAATACTATTTTTAAAAAATATTATTGTGATAAAAATTATTATAAAGTCACCGTTGTGGTGATATATGGTGTCGCAAGAATACAGGTCAAGAGTCAACGAGATTTAAGCTTGGATTCTTCAAAGATTTCACGTTGACGTCTAAAGTCAACATTGTTAGAAATACATCAGGGTCTATATATGTTGAGAATCTTGGACTACGTATAGTGGATGATGGTAATGACATGACGAGTTACAGTGTACATCACATGACGGGAGTAGAATTTTCTGCATCTTTGTCGGAAGAAAGATTGCAGGTGTTCGTGAAGGTCTATTGGTTGGACAACGGGATGGTGACAGCCGACGTTGAATCCAAGAGCCAAAATGTCGAGCGTCATTGACTTTGACTTGCATCTTAGTCAAGTCTTCTTGACCTAAACCGCGCGGTAGTAGCACGATCAAATCTACGAAGAGCCCGCGGAAATCGCGGGGACGTGGCAGCTATATATATATATATATATACACGAAAAGTCTTCATTGTTACACTCCT